TTCTCAGGGATTCCGGTTTTTATAATGCTTTCTTTATTAGACAAGATTGTTAATTACAAGACAAAAAAACCCCTACAACTCTCGCTGATCTAGTGAAAATGGATTTTTGTTGAAATGATTCTGTTTGGTTCATAGGATTGTGGGAAATTTTGGTACACATTGAGTAACCTGTGAGGCAGCCTGAGTGGAAATCACCACGGTAACACTGCTGCTATGGGAGAATTGGTTTCCAAGTTCAGAAACCTGTTTACAAACAACCTGAATTCACTGCAAGCAGAAACTACACCTAATTAATTGTTGTGGCCCAAAGACTTTGTGGAGTCTCACCGTGGGTTGTGTGGTCTTATACCGTAACTGGGCTTCTCCACTAAAGCACGTGTTCTGTTTCATCCTCAGCTGGGTGTACTTACTCAATTCTGATGCTAACCTTCTGTAGTTAGCACCTGACCCCGAAGGTTTATGGGCTCAATCCCTGAGATATGGTGATACAGCAAGAAAGAAATTTTTGGTCTTTGTCCTAGTTCCTGGCCTAAGAGCGTCTAAAACCTTTGAAACTTCCCTGAGTGTTAGGGGTGAGAAGAGTTTTTTGTTATTCATTTTAACCTCCTTTAAACCATACCTGAGTTTATACTAATGAAGTGATTCTTTGTGTCCTTAGATAGCTTCAGGACAGGAACTGGTTACCAGAAGAACCAGCCACGTGATTAGAGGGTTGGAATTTTTGGTCTCATTCCACCCTCAACATCCCAATGATGAGAGGGGGCTGAAGATTGTGTTAATCACTAATGGCCATTGATTGAATCAGTCATGCCACTGTGTAATGGAACCTCCATAAAAACCCCTCAACTGTAGGGTTCAGAGAGCTTCCGTGTGTCAAGAAGGTGGCACACTCCAACTCCACGGGGATAGAAGCTCCTGTGCTCAGGACCATCCAGATCTTGCCCTATGTACTTCTTCATCTGGCTGTTCAACTGTGTTCTTTATAATACCCTTCCTAATAAACAAGTAAACGTTAAGTAGAGTGTTTCCCGGAGTTCTGTGAGCCATTAGAGCCAGTTATCAAAGAGGAGGAGGGAGTTGTGGGAACCTTCAATTTATAGCTGGTTGGTCAGAAGTCCCCGTGACAAACTGGACTTGTGACTGGCATCTGAAGTGGGGGGAGGAGGAGGAGCAGTGTTGTGGGACTGAGCCTTTAATCTGTGGGATCTGATGTCAACTCCTAAGGAAGTTAGTGTCAGAATTCAATTAGACTGTAGGATATGCAGCTGAAGACCCAAGAGTTGGAAGATTGGTTGTAGGTGAGGAAAAACTCTTACATGTTTGTTGTCAGAACTTAATCGCTGTGACTGAAAAGCAGATCTCAGTAGTCGTCAAGACTGCCCTCGTGTCATTTGCCAGCCACACTTTGAGAGTCCCCAAACCAACCATATTTCTGACCAATTGGCTACAAATTCAGGGCTTCCCATGACTCCGTCAGGTTTGATAACTCATTAGAATGACCTACAGGACTCAGGAAAGCACTAAACTTACAATTACAGCTTTATTATAAATGATAGTGATCAGGAAAAGCCAAATGAAGAGACACAGAGGATGTAGCCTGAGGGGCAATACAGAGCTTTTGTGCCTTCTCCCATGGACTCATGGTGTGTCACATTCCAGGCACCTCAGTATGTTCAACCAGGAAGCTCCCACGAGCCTAGGTGCCTGGAGGGGTTTCATCAGATGAACTCAATCTCCAGACCCCTTCAGTCCCTGGAGGTGGAAAAGTCCAATCAGTCATGTGATGGGTCTTTCTGGTGACCAACCCACCATTCTAAAGCTGTCCAGGGGCCCATCCTGAGTCACCTCATTAGTGTAACATAGACACTCCTACCACTCATGAAATTCCAAAGTTTTCTGAAGTTCTGTGCCAGGAACCAGGGACAGAAACCAGATACAGTATAATCTTTATTATACCACAGCAGTATCACACTCTTGGTTATTACCATTGTGCCTGTCTCCCTGGGAAGCTTCTGGGAAGGCAGGGAGCTTAACCTGTTGTTTGCCAGTGAAGTTCCAGAATCTTATCTGGGGTCTGTCACATAGGGAGCGCTCTATACATTTGCTGAGCAAATCAGTGAGGCTGATCTGATGTAGTTCTGACTTCAGGTATTGGTTATGTCAGTTCAAAAATAAAACTCTGTAGCCAAGACATCTGTCAACAGAGGAGTGGCTGAATAAATCACAGCTCATCATACAATGGAATTACTATTGAAAAAAGTAAGAAGATGCTGTAGATAGATGTGCTAATAATAGATAGATCTCCAAGTCAGATTATGTAGTATAACAAAAAGAAAAAGAAAACAAAGTCAAGGTGCAGAACAGTATTGATGGTATGTTCTCTTTAACATACAATATAAAGTATTTAAATCCTAACTGTACAGCCTCGTGACAATTTCCTAATTAATACATCTGTGTTTGCCACTTGGTAGATTGAGTTATAGAACATTTCCAGGACTTAGAACTCTTTCTCATATTTCTTTGTAGACCATACCCTTTAAATGGAGCCATTATTTTAATTCCTCTCACTTCAATTTTTCCTGATTTAGAACTTTATGTATTTGGAATCACAGAGAATATACTGCCTATTTAAACTATTCTATCCGGTTACAAATAACGCTGTGTGACCTGCTTTTCCTGCTTAGCACTATGTGATGAATATCCTGCAATTATAATCTGCAATAAAATCATGACTTTAAATTGCTGTATTATAAATAGTATGTTCTCTGTTATATTTAACTATTCTATTTTTTAAAAATTATTATTCATGAGGGAAGAAGAATTCAGAGAATCCATACAGGCAGCAAGTGGAGAAACTGGAACTCAAACCTTTATCTCAGGCGCTCAGTCTTCCACTGCAAATAGCTAAGTGCTCAAATATGGGCAGAGCCTTGCAGATGTCTTGCACGAGGCATAATGATAACAAGAATGACTAATAAGTATTAATGGCTCATGACAAAAGAACAAATGCCATTACCTTAATATATTAGGCATATTAGTACTGTTTGTGCAGTATTATTCATGCAAATATTATTAGCCTGTGGCAGGGACAGTTGTTGGACCCTGAACTAGTCTCATAGCTCAGGTCTCCGCCCTCCTTTCCATATGTGCAAGGGCTGGGACTTCTAGGGACACGCCCCGTAGCGCTCCGAGGGGCCAATCGGCGCCCAGAAGGCGGGACTCTGGGAGCGACAGCTGTGCTACCCAGTGCGCAGACAGCCGGGGCCGACCCTGGCCAATGGGCAGGCTCCTCCGAGACGGTCGGAAGTGGTGAGGCGGCTCCGGGGGCCGTTGTTCAGTGCCCGGGCTGTCTGAGGAGGTTCTGGGTCTGTGGCTGGTTCGTCCGCTCGGCGTTTTTCCTCGGTTCCCGGGTGAGAGTTGCGACGGGCCGCGCCTGGGGAGCTTCCTGTGGCCTCCAGTTCGGGAGGAGGCCGGCATCCCGAGGGTGGGGTGTGTGGGCGAGGGGCTTCTGGGCCTTGGGGTCGTTGGCGTTTCTCGTAAGGAGAAAGATGCCTGCGCCGCGGCGTCTCCTCTGGCCAGTGGGGGAGGCCGTACTTTCTCTGGGAACCGGAGCCTCGACAGCCCCTGGCGGCACCGCCCCTTCCCGGCCTTGGCCCCAGGGGGACCGGGAGGCGGCCGTCCGGAGCGCCGCCGTGGGCGCTGCGCCCCGGGCGGAGCTGGGCCGCAGCCCCAAGCGGCCAGCGTGAGGGGTCGCAGATGGCCGGGTGCGGGCTCTACGCCGACGGACCCGGGTTGAGTCCCCGCCCTGAACAACTGTTCGGCGACTGTCTCCCTGGGACTTTCGCTTTCGCGGTCCCTGAAAAGGGGAGGATGACGTTCACCTTGTAGGTTGTGGTCTGGATTAAAAGATTGTCTATGTAAAGCGTTTGGCAGTCAATCGAGGCACAGTAAATGGTGGCTAGTATTTGCGAAGCTGATGCCCTCTCCCCTCCGCATCTCCGACCTCATCTGCCTCGTTGGGGGAGGGGACAGTTGGAAACCGCCTCCTACCGGGTCTGGACCGTGCGGTGGTGTGTCCACCCCCTCGGGCACAGGGAAATTCCGGGAATCCTGGTCGATCTGTAAAAGAGGGCTTCCTTCTAAGGTTTGAAGGAAATTTACGCTACCAAAGCACTTCCTTGCATTCGCTCATTTACTCCTCACAGTGACCATTGCCACTTGTCTGTGTGGTGAAATCTGAGGCCCAGGAAGGGTAAATCACAACACATCTGCTGAGTGGCCAAACCAGAATTTGACCCTCAGAGGGGCCAACTCCGAGCCCTGCGTGTCATCCCAATCCCCTTGCAGCTAGAAAACCGGACACTTCACCTCATCCGAGGCTCTGGCCTCGGCTTAGTGGGCTGAAATAGGTCACGTCCAGGGTCAGTGGGTCAGCCCTGGGAAAAGTATGAGGCTTCCCGCTTTTGGCAACATAATTTATTTTCATAGGTAGATGCTTTCTAACACTAGTTTACATCATAACAGAGTGGGTATCTTGAACAGTGTCACTCCCTAGTTTAAAACTCTTCTGTGGTTTACCACTGAGCTTGGAATATAATTGAGTAGTATTCTTTTCTCTCCTACATGATAAGGTCCTGACTGATTCCCCTTTTTTCATTTTGCTTTTTCAGATCTATCTGTACTTTCTCTCATTGACTCTTAGGCCCACTGCCTGAACTACATCCTTTATCTTATTTACTCTTTGCATGCCTGGCTCTTTGCAATTCGGGTCTTAGTTTGAATGTCATCTCCTCAGAAAGGTCTTCCCTCACACCTTTATCTAGAGTCCCTTTACTCCATCTCCAGTTGTCTACTTTTCCATCAAAATATTCATCTTAAGGTATATCTGGGTTTTTTGCTTGTTTTTCTCTATCACTAAATTGTTCTGTTAAATCAGAGATCAGACACTGTATTTCTTTAATTTGTAAAGTATTTTTAGTACTAGGGTACAAGTGGCACACGGGGTTAACATGTTAACTTAGTGTGTTAAATGACAGTACTTGTTTTGAAACGTGAATTAGTTTGGAAATGTCAAAACCATTAGAGAGCCCCATTAGGGGTAAGCATTTTAGAACATTTTGCGTCACGGAAAAGGATAATCTAAAGTAAATATTGGTAATAAAGTTGCCAGGACTTTGCTTTCTTCCTTGACATCTTGTTTAGAAAGAAGGAAAAACTTTACACTGGAGAAACCTGGCACTGTCTCAACGAAGTGCTCAGCAGCATCATCTGTATTAATAAGGCTGTTGATATAATGTGCTTTCTGATGTAATGCATTGAGATGAGCACCACATCACTGCTATGGTGTTTTTGCCAAAAATGTACTAATCATAAGAAAACATAAAATGAACCTAAATTGAAGGGCATTCTACAAAATAACTAGCCAGTGTATTTAACAAGGGTGATGAAAGATGAAGAAAGACTGAAAAAATACCCTAGACCAAAGAAGATTAAAGAGAAATAACAACTAAATTCCACATGTGACTCTGGATTGCATCCTGAAACAGAAAAAGGGTATTAGTGGGATGAGTTGTGAAATTTGAATAAGATCTGTAGATTAGTTACTAGTATTGTATTGATTTCCTGCACTTGATAATTTTACTATGGTTATTTATGATGTATTGAGTGAGAAGTAGGTGGAAGTTCTTTTTTTTTTTTAGTTATAGTCAGTTTACAATGTTGTGTCAATTTCTGGTGTACAGCACCATTTTTCAGTCATACATGAATATACATATATGCAGTATGTGGGAGTTCTTTGTGCTGTTTTTGCACGTCGAATTACTTTAAAATGAAAATCAAAAAATAATAAAAAGATAAAACCCAAGTGTATTGGATATTAAATAAAATGCACTGGTTTCGGTGACATTTTCTGTGCACTGTTTGTTTTTGTATTTTGCATGTCATCCTTAAAAGCAGAAATGAAATTGAAAGATCACACTTCTTCCTTTGTTGTTTTCAGGAAAGCTAGAGATGGCTGAATTTCAAGGTGACCAGGACACTCGACTGTGTGACAACTGGTAAGAAATCTAAGAAATGTTACTGGAATGAGGACAAACTAGCTTCTGTAAAGAGTTGATTTATTTATTGGCAGGTTAAAATTGGAGCTGTATAGTATGTGGTGCAAATATATGAGACTAAAGCTTTTTTTTTTTAACAATTTTGGATAAGGTTGCTTGTTTTAAATTTGACAAGCTGGTTAGTTTAGGTAGCATAGAGTAGTGACTAGAGTGACAGGATGAAGCTGGGAGTCAGGGCTCTTGTTCCTATCTGTAATTAGTTAATGACTTTTGGCAAGTCACTTGACTGCTTTGGAGCCTCACTTTTCTGACATAGAGGTAAGGGAATTTATTTTTTGTCTTTCTGAAAAGTATATTTTTTAAAGGTACTAAAAATATAATGAAATATTTGGACTCAAGCAGTGTCTTTCAAAGTGTGTTGCAAGGATTTCCCTGAATGGCCGCAGTGGCTGTCTTGAGGTTGATTGTGAGCAAGGCTTAGTGAGCTTGGCTTTATGTCTAGTAGTGAGAAAACAGTTCAACCAGAGCAGCTTAATTGTTTTTATAAAGAATATTGCTGAGGGAATGTTCCATTGCTTAAAGAAAAAAAAAGTCAAAGTTTTCAGCAGTCTAGTTTAATCATTATCATTTCATGATTCCAGAACTGTTAGACTGGGTGTGGACTTGAATGTCAGGCTTTTTTATTTTGATGTTTTTACCGCACGTGAGTGACAAGAAAGAGCAACTCTTTCTTGCTGAAATGAAACTTAGTGCAGCTGATCAGCCAGTTCGTGGTTGAGATTTCTCAAGAGCTTGTGTTTTAGTAATATATGAGTTCCCTCACTGACAGCTAAAGAAAAAAGCAAGGCAGAGCTACCTGTGCTGTGTTTAACTTACCAAATTTGGTAGAAGGAAAGAGATGTTGATGAGAAAAGTTGTTTGACCCAGATTGGTGAAAGATTGAGCCAGATAAAAATTTTTCTTTTTTTATTGCCTTTTTCTTCTCAGCTTCTTGACGGCATTAGGATATAATCAGAGCAGCTGCTGGGCACAATATTCTTTCCCTGTGTGGAATTAAGATTTCATTTCTGTGAAGGTGTCTTGCTGTACAGGGTATTTTTTCCTACTGTGCCACTATTACCTTTGCCATTTTGAAAACTTTTTTAACTTTGTTTGGGTTTTGTATGTACTGTTTGAGATCCAAAGTATAATAACCAGTGATACAAAAAATCACAAGGAAACATTGTGATTTTATAAGAAAACAGACATTGGCTTTGACATCAGTTAAGATATTCTTATTTTATCAGTCCACTCCAACTGAAGGAATCTCATACCTAGGACAATATATAAATAACTATGCTAAGGGAGTTAAAAAAAAAAGTGGGGGGTGTAAGTTAATGGAAAGCTAATGAAAACAAGGTTATTCGGAGCCCAAGCAATTTATTTAAAGAAAAAAAGCAGATTAGCATGGAAAGCTGATTAAGCCAGCACAAACCTCCTATCTAAGTAGCCCTGTTTAAATTCCAGGCTTTAAAATTTTGTCTTTAGAGCCATATTTCTGTTGTTCCCTAAGCCATATTTCTGTTGTTCTGTTGTTCAAAAAATACGAGCTGCGATTAGACCTACTGGATCAGTAAAAAGAATAGTTTATCGTGATTGAAGATTTTTTTGCATGTTATCTCTTTTCTTACTGTATTGTCTGATAGATGGGAGAGTTCGGTTCTAGGAAACAGAGTTTCAGTGTTAAAAGATTTTGACTTTTTATCTTTGCATGTATTAAAGAATTAATCTCTGGCTCCTTGTGTTTGGGGATTTTTCTGGAAGCCTTGGCTTGCTTTTCAGTCATTTCTATCTAAAATGAAAATTCATCTGTAGCTTTGCTAGTCCTTCCTTGGGGCTTTTAGCGGTTTTATCTGGAATGGAATTGTGTTCTCATTTATCTCACTTAAACCATCTTGATATTATCTGTAGGTAGGAAGCAAATGTATTGGTATTTTGTCTGCTTTGTAAGGTTTGGTGGGACTATCTTGGCAGTTAAATTTAAAAAGAAAACCATCAGGCAGCTGTTTCATGTAATTGTTGTAAATATTGTTTATCTTTTTCTTTCAGGGTATCTCAATAGGTGAAAATGTGTAGTAGTAAATACTGCTCTGTGGTCTTAACCTGACGGCTGCCTTTGATTCTTGCTTCTTTATGTTATGATTTTGTGGTCCTTAATATTTTCTGTTTTAATTCTAAAATTTTAGTGGCCTTATGTGTGCAGAATGCTCTATGTCAGGAGATTATTCTAAATAGATCTGTAAAATAAAAACGAGACATTTATTTTCTTGACTTTTGCTGTTAAGAAAATTATTGTCAAAATTATGAAAAAAGAATCTAGCATCTTAGCACCGTAATCAGTAATTACTGGCTTTAATTTTTCATGGCATCTGTGCACAGAGGATTTGCAATCAGCATACAGCTCTGCTTCTTGCACGTTGTTGGTGTACCATATTTAACTTAGCTGTTTCCTTGTTTACACATTTTTAATGGTTTTCAGTTTTTTACCATTTTATGGCACTCTAAATGAAAATCTTCATAATTCCAAGAGTGGGACTACTGGGTTAAAAAGCATATAGTTTTATGGTCCTAGAAACATATTTTTAGGCTGTTGATAAGCAGTGGTTTTACACTACCACGGGTGATGAATTAAAGTACTCGTTTTATAACATCTTTAATAGTGGGATTTACTAATTTTAATATTTATTGATTTAATAGATTTAAATGGTAACTTTGATTTATAGCTCCTTCCACTGTATATTTTAATATTCTACAGTTTTGAGATAGTTAGGCTGAATTTAAAGCCAGTGGTTTCCTTAGAAAGCTGGGAATTTTGGAGAAAAAGGGGAAGTTAAATGTGTCAAAACATTGGTAGTTTCCCTCTTTATCTGTTAGTTTCCTTCCCATCTTTTACACTTGTTATTCTGTGTCACCTTCCAGTTTTAGCATGAGAACTACCTTAATAGTTCTACCTTTGGATGAAAATGAATTTGTTTTTTTTGGTGCCTTGGGCTTTCAGACTGGGAGTATGACTATAGCTGGAGGCGTATCAGTCATCTTACTTTGAAATGTTTCTTAGACTATGTATGAAGATTATGAAAGAGAAGTAAGCTATCTACAACTTAGTGTGGGAGAAGATTTCTGTAGTATTTAGCTTCCGAGGCAAAATGGGTTATTAAAGATTTGTTGTGGGGGAGGGAGAATATAGCTCAAGTGGTAGAGGAAATGCTTAGCATTCACCAGGTCCTGGGTTCAATCCCCTGTACTTCCTCCAAAAATAAGTAAATAAATAAACCTAATTACCCCCCCCAAAAAAAACTGAAGAAAATTTTGTTCTGTAACTAGCTATTCATCCTATTTAGTATTTTATTTTCTGAAAATCTATTCTAGGTGACATATTTATAGGCACATTCTTTTTTTTTTTGTCAGTTTTTTTTTTTTGAGTTTACAATGTCAGTTTACAATGTGTCAATTTCTGGTGCACAGCACAATTTTTCAGTCATGTATGAATATACACATATTCATTTTCATATTCTTTTTCATTGTGAGCTACTACAAGATCTTGAATCTATTTCCCTGTGCTATAGGCACATTATTTTAATGCATTCTTTAGTTAGACTGTGGAATTGGAGTTTCCTAATGGGTATAACCAAATAAGTAAATGGAAGGCCTTTGAATATTATGTGCCTCTTGTTTGTGTATATATATACTCTTGTTAAATTTAAATGATCTTTTTCACTCAGGATTGTCATATCGTCCCTTTTCTTAACTTAGATATGGTCTTTAATTGGATCCCTTAAACCCAAGGAGAATGGCAAAAAGTGAATGAGGTGACAGGACTGGGGGAAGGGGTTCAGGATTTCATTTTTGTACATTTCTGCAGTGACATTTATACCAGCCCAGCCAGAGCTTGTTCCCAGCTAGCATCCAGCCTGCTTTGAAAGACATGTGGGACATAAAGTAGGCAAGTTTGTCTCCATTGACTGTCCCAAAGCTGGCATCTGCTCTTTTTGGTTTGGCTTTTAGTGGAATAAAATCTAATGGTATTAAACCTACCTGCTGAGACTGGGAGTGAAATTTTTTTTTTCAAATAATCCTGGAGTGGATCATTGTGCTTTGGGGCATGGTTGGATGCCTAGCTCAGCTCTTCTTGGCATCTGACTTCCTGTTATTGGTTGTGGCTCTGACATCTAGAAAGTGAGGCTGAGCTTTTAGAGGTAGTGTATTAGCACTGATAACTCAGTGTTGCACAGAAGACTCAAAAGCTTCAGGAGTTAATTCTTGAAAAGCAGGGGTAGTAACAGTAATAATACATTAGATACTCACTAAAGAAAAGTAATGGAGACTAAAAGTTAGACAGGACAGATTTCCATGTGATACCTCTGGGTATAGATGTCAGTAATTCTTGCCTTTTTCTTTGATCTATTTCTGTAGCAAAAAAGAAATTCCTGTGTTTAACTTTACCATCCATGAGATCCACTGTCAAAGGAACATTGGTATGTGTCCTATCTGCAAGGAACCATTTCCCAAATCTGACATGGAGACTCACATGGCTACAGAACACTGTCAGGTGAACCACCAAGTATTCAAACGTTCATAAATGGATTATACTTGCTATTGTGTAATAGCAAGCGAGCGTATTGTCACAAAGCCAATTTATTGATTCTTACTTCTTACCCTAGGTGACCTGCAAATGTAACAAGAAGTTGGAGAAGAGGCAGTTAAAGAAGCATGAGGTAAGTTTCCCTACATTGTGAAGGGAGTGAGTTACCATGGGGCCAATCCTGCCGAGGTTACAGAGCCACGTGCAGAGCAGAAAGCCAGTCTTGTTGAGTTTGTTCTCCACCAGCTCCATGCACACTGCCACTCAAAGCCTATTTGAAGCTTTAACTATTTGCTGCTAGATTTGGCTGAATGGCTGTTGTGCTTTGTGCTCAAGCCTCAGAGCCTTTCTCTTTGGAACTGAGTCATTTCTGCTGGGGTTTGGCTGTTGGCAGGCTCACTGAGCACTAAACCGAGCCTGGTGTTGGATAGTGTGATATGACCTCTTTAGCACAAAGCCTGCCTTACTTACATCTTGTAATTTCATTTTGACTTCTCGATCACTTAGATAACATATTGTTTACACCTAGAGATTCTCAGAGAACATTTGATGAGAGAAAACATAGTATCATGTGGCCCCTAGTTGAGATAAAACTGGCCATAGTTGAATGAGTTTATATATTGAATGAACATATTCACCAGTTAAAAAATCCCAGGAAGTGTTTAGTTGGTGGTCACACAGGAGTGTGAATACATATATAAAAATTCATCAAGGTATGCACTTAAGATATGTGCATTTCATTCTTTGTGACTTAAAATTATAAATGAATTACTAGTTTAAAAGGTGACTCATACATTCAATGTAAAAAATTTGGAAAATATAAAAAGAAAATAAGAATAACTCATGACCCCACAGCTCAGAGATAAACGTCTCATGAATAATTTAGCACATTTCATTAATTTTTTTAAGCATTTGACCTATGTTTTACTAGGCCAAACCAGCAAGAAGGGTTATGATTGAGGTTATGTTAATAATAATAAAGAGGAGGGTATAACTCAGTGGTAAAGTGCATACCTAGCATGCATGAGATCGTGGGTTCATTCCCCAGTACCTCCATTAAAAAAAATAAACAAACCTAACCCCCCCAAAACCCCTCAAAACTAAAGCAAACAAGCAAAAAACAATAATAATGAGTATTTCTGTGACTTTTAACATCTACTTGGTGCATAAAACAACCTCCAATCAACTGCCCTCCTCTTCTAGTTTCTCTCCCAGGTATTTCTGGGAGTCACATGGTGATCCACTAATCATCATAAAAGTACAAGTACAAAGTATTTCCTAAAACAAAAACAACAACAAAAAGAGCAAAGTATTTCTTAACATTCTTGCAAGTCAGGCTTTGACAGTTGTAGACATTGAAGTTCTTAGCTTAAGTTCCCAAGTTTTGGAATGTCCATATCATAGTAACATTCCTTTTAATCTTTTAAATTATTTAGTGCTTTAGTGACCATTTCAAATTAAATGTGAAAGTATTGTCCATCATCTGCTGAGTACATTCACATTCTTGGGTCATCTTCATTGGTGATTCTTGATTTATTTCGTTAATTTAAAGCCAGTGCTATGTGTGGATGTGCAGATTACAAAAATCAATGTCTTTCTAAAGAGCAGTCCTTCTTCTTCATTGCCAGGTACTTAAGACAAATTGGAGTAGTAAGGGGAAATTGGTCTGAGGGGAGCTTTGACAAGCTTGTATGAATTGCTGTGCTTTTTGTTCCTGTACTTCTCAGGCTGATTGTGGGTTACTTTGTAATGTGTGCACAAAGTGATGAGAGGGTGACTGAGTAAATTCCTTATAAGAGTTTCCCTTTTGTAGAACCTGGTGGCAGGACAAAGAGGGAAGCTGTAACTCTTAAATACATAGAAAATCATGTCAGGCAGAGCAGGGTTGGAAGCGAGTATTGTTGTGAATACTTTTTGCTTTCCTTGCCCTGTACTAAAACGTGGCCTGTCTTAGATTTGCATGTTAACTGCCTCATTATTCTGTGTTGCAGGAGATTGAGTGTCCTCTACGGCTTGCCCTTTGCCAGCACTGTGATTTGGAACTTTCTGTTCTCAAGCTGAAGGACCATGAAGATTACTGTGGTGCCCGGACGGAGTTGTGTGGCAATTGTGGGCGCAATGTCTTGGTGAAAGATTTGAAGACTCACCCTGACGTTTGTGGGAGAGATGGACAGGAGAAGAGAGACGAGGTTGCCATGCCATCTAATGCATATGATGAATCTTGGGGTCAAGATGGGATCTGGATTGCATCCCAACTCAGACAAATGGAAGCTCTGGACCCACCCATAAGGCTACCTCGAAGGCCCCTGAGAGCCTTTGAATCTGACCTTTTCCATACCAGGACCACCAACCAAAGGAGCGTGACAGCCCGGTTTCCAATTCAGAATAATCTACGTGAGTTGCGTTTAGGATTAGAAAACTGGAATGACATCAGGATCTCGGGGCAAATGGGAACAGGGCTTTGGAGCCAAATAAATCTTAATTATAGAAACCTGACTGTAGCTAGGTAGCATGAGGAAGAACACTTAACTTTCCTATAGGTGAGAATAACAGAACCTCTTTGCTATTGGATTACTCTTGGATGGCAGGGTTGATGGATGATGATGCTGTTAATAGCTAACTTTATTGAGCATGCCCTGCGTGCTTCAGGCATTTGCAAAGTGCTTTGCAGGTATTAACTCATTTAGTGCTCACAGCTGGTTTATGAGCATAGTTAAGTAGTAGAGCTGGAATTTGAATTCAGGCAATCTGACCCCATGCTTTAAAGGCATTCTGCTATAATGTAGAAAATACGTGTAAAATGTTTAGCATAGTATCTGCCTCAGTTACAGCTCATTAATACTGCTTAGTAATAAAATAATTAGAATAATAATGGAGCCTTTTACCATGGCACTTAATATATGGAGTCCTGTAAGAACTGAAGGGCTGGACCTCTTTTTCTGCGCAGATTCCTATAAACCTTGAATTTGCTAGGCATGGACTTGAGTTGACAGATGGCAGTATCTCTAATGTATCTTGAATACTGGTTGGTTTTTTTTTTCCCCAGTGGAAGAACAAGAAAGGCAGGAAAGGAATAGAAGCCGACGGACCCCCAAAGAGGGTGGTGAAGACAGTGCGAACTTGGACTTCATGTTGGCCCTAAGTCTGCAGAATGAAGGCCAGGCCCCCAGCATGGCAGAGCAGGACTTCTGGAGGGTCATATGTGAGGCAGACCAGTCCCGTGAAGGTCCCAATGCTCTGGATGACATAAGGGGTAGGTTTGTTTATTCTGCACTAGCCTCTTTCTGTACAGTTTTTTAAAGTCCTAACACTAAACAATTTGTTTAAAATGGAAAGTTTTTATGAGAATGAATTTTTTTATTTTGTTTATTAGCTTTCCCCCACCCTTTATTTTTAAAAATTGTCAGAATAGTACAGCCAGTATCTGTATACCCCTCATTTATGTTCACCAACTTTAATTTTTTTATTTTACTATTCTTTATATTTTTTCCCCTGTGAACCAGCTGAGAATAATTTGCAGACATAATATTTTATCCCTAAATCCTTCCTGCATCTTAAGATGAATTTCTTAAGAACAAGGGCACTCTCAAATATCACTGTCAGGAAGGTTCCTTCCTTGTACATAGTGTCCTTTTTAGTTTTGTTTTTAAAATCCAGGATTGTGCATTACATTTAGTTCTTTCTAGGTTCTTTTAGTTAAGCCCCCTCCCTCCACCTCCCTTTTCTCCTTTAGAGCATTGGTATTTTTGAAGAGTCCAGGCCAGTTGTTCTGTAGAGTATTTCTTTCTCAATTAAGATCTGTGTGATTATTTTCCCATGTTTAAATTCAGCTTATAGTTTTGGCAGGAATGCTCTATTGGCCATGCTGTGTTTTCCTCAAGATGCCAGTTTGTCCAGTTATTCATCTAAGTGGGGTCTGCCAGGTATCTCCATTATAAAGGTAGCCTTTTTACGTCATAATAGGTATATGCAGGATATTATTTTTAGATTGTTGGGAAACAGGATATCTACACAGCCTTATGTAGCAGTTTTAGTATTCACTGATGTTTCTTGGTTGAATCAAGTATTACTATGGCGATTTTAAAATGGTAATTTTTCTGTTCCTATCCTTCGTTCTATGTTTATTGTCATTCTTCTGTAGAGAACTTTGCTTCCCTCCGCACCCCCATTTAAAAACAATTCTTTTTTATTAGTATTATTGGACTCATGAATTAAAAGTAAGCTTTAAAGTAGGGGAGGGTATGTAGCTCAATGGTAGAGTGCACGCTTAGCATGCAGGAGGTCCTGGGTTCAATCCCCGGTACCTCTTAAAAAAATAATAAATAAAACTGATCCCCCCCTCCAAAAGAAAAATCCCCTATAATTGATTGATTGATTGATTTGGAGGGGTGGAGGTAATTAGGTCTTTGGTTTTTTTAAAAAAAATTATTTTTTTTAACTGATTTATTGGAGATTGAACCCAGGACCTTGTGCATGCTGGGCACACACTCTGCCACAGAGCTATAGCCTGCTCCCTAAGACCCCCTAAGTTTAAAAAATTAAAATTGGGTTATGAGCAGTGAACCGCCCATTGGGTCTCTTGTTTAGAGAATAATATGTTTGAGAAATGGATGTCATATTTAAAACCCTCACGTTGTAAGATTTTAGGGACTTGAAAATTAATTAGCTCTCAGCTGTGGTTTATCTTCATGTCACTGTAAGGATAGTGATTTCAAGAACAGTAGGATTAACTCTTAACATTTTGTTGATTTTGATAAAATAGAAATTGGTCCTGGCTCCAAGCATTGAAGTTGGGTCTTTCTATAGCCTGGTTAAAGGAGATAAATGGTAGTGTTAATAGAAATCTGGATAGGCAATGACATTTTTCCTTTTCAAAATTTTTGTATATTCTTAATTACAATAAATTACATTACTTTGAAGAATAGTAAATACATGAGCAGTATTTTTTTTTATGGTCTACTCTAGACAGTGGCTGGTTAACATGTAGATTCAAAGACTGTGGAAGATGAGTCTCTGATGCCTTAGAAGGTTATGTCCCCATAGGTTGAAAAACTACTATTTAGGTTGTATTTTCTTCCTTAAAAATAATGCTTTGTATTGGGGGGGGGTGTAAAAATAGATAATTTGCATATGTAATAAAAATAGAAAATAGTAAAAATGTGTAAAAGGGAACATGTCTTTTTCACCCACTGGTGAGTTTCCCAGTTCTCCCCAGAGGTCACCACTTTCAGCAGGTTCTCAGATAGCTTTATATTCTTTGTGTATAAAATATGTGAATGTATAATACAGTGGAATTGTTTAAGAGCTGATTTTATTAGGGAGACATCCTGAATTTGGGGGAGCAGAACAAGGCTTCTCAGTGTTTAGCTTTGTATTCTTTTCCATGTCTAAGTGTGGCAGCCCTTTATGGAATGTTGATATTCAGGTCTCCCTTTTGTTACCTTTGATCTGTTCTGTTTTACCTAATAGCTGCTGCTTCTTTCCCTTAGGAAAATGTCCTAGTCCCACATAAAGTGTTTTCCAAATTCTGAGCAGTGTCTTTTCATCGTGAGTCTTCTTATCAGCGGTTCAGACTTGACTTCTATCAGAGCATTTAGATTAGTGAAGAAAGTAAAATCACAGTAGCACAGTTGTGGCAAGTGAAGATTCTGCATTTAGTGTAGTTTTATTTTTTCCTTTCTTGGCCATTTCTTAGATTACTTTATTGACTTTTCCTTGTTTGCATGTTTCATTCCATCTTTCTGCTAGCTTGGAATTTATTCTCTTGTCTCTGTTCCTGTAGTGGTTGCCCTGGAAATTTTAGCATGTTTATTTAACTTAGCAAAGACTAAAGTTAATCAACCTATCACACTTCTCTTAATTAATACAGTACCCTTAGAATTTATAAATGATATAGACATTTCTTGTTTTATATACTGATTGTATTTATCATTTTATTTATTATATGTTTACCATTTTCTTTGCTCATCCATGCTTCCTTGTTTCTCCAAACTTCCTTTTAGAATATATTTCCTGAAGTGAATTCTTTATAAATTCTGTGGATTGTAAATTCTCTCTTTTGGTTTGTCTGAAAGCATCTTTATTTTGTCTTCATATTGATAGTTTCTCTGGTCATACAATTCTAGATTACCAATTATTTTGTCTTAGTTCTTTGAAGATACTATTTTATTTATTCTGTTGTTGGTTACAGAGAAGTCATCTGTTAGTTTGTTATTTCTCTGTAGGTGGCTCTGTCTTATTCTGTCTGGCAGATTTTAAGATCTTTTTGTCTTTGGGATTCTGCAGTTTCCTGATGATTTCACTTGCTTTAAATTTTTTGGGATTTAATGGCCTTCCTGATTCTAAATTTACTTTTTTTCATCTATATGGAAATAATCTGTTATTTCTTTGATTATAGCGTGTCTTCCGTGCTCCGTAGTCTCTCCTTAAATTCCGTGTAGGTGTGTTAGACTTCTTTCTGTCCTCGGTTTCTTTACCTGCATTTTCCATTTCCTTGCCCTTGTGCTGCGTTCTGGGTAATTTCTTACCTGTCTTCTTAGTCTGTTATTTAGTATGTCTGTTGAGACTTTCACTCTAATGATTGTATATATATTTTTCATTTGTTCTGTTTGATTCTTTTTTCTTCAGTGTGCTTCATCATTTTAAAAATAATCTCTTTTACCTCTGTGGTCGTGGTCTAATTCTCCTATCATATCTCTAAACATGTTAAATATACTTATTTTTCTATTGTGTCTGAAAATACATCTAAAGTCTGGTTTTTCCTATTTGTTATTTCTGCTGACTCACTCATGGTGGCTTGCTGCCTCCCTGTATGTGTGTGTGTGTGTTAACGTTAAGTTTTTGGGTGTGTTCCTCTGAGGGTATTTATTTATATATGCCTCCAGCAGACACCTGGGATTACTACTGACTGGGATAGATATTTTAAATTGAGCGTCTTAAAACTGTGAAATGTGAATGTATGTAAAAACATAAATGTAGATTCTCCACTCAAACCCATGTTAAGGCCTATTCCTTATTGGAGATTTTTCCCTCTTCTCTGTAGAGCTAGAACCTAGGCAGGCAAGCTTCCTTGCCTCTTCTCACTGTTCACCCTCTACTTGTTCAGAGTCTCACTGAGGCTCTTGTGTTTTGGGAATCCTAGGTTTAAAATTGCTCTTATTTACTCATTTAAATTACTTTCATTTAACAACTTTTTTTTTTTGTACTTTGTACTGGGAGGGTTTTTCTGTTCTGGATATTTGTCTGCCAATGTGATATATGAGCCTCAGTGCCTTCATCTGTAAAATGAGGGTCATCTGGATCTATTTTGTAAGTTTTTCCTGAGGATTGAAATAATGCGCAAAAGGCTCTTAGTTTAGTGCCTAGGGTAATGACACATGTACATTTCTTCCTTTATAGTGGGTAAGCTACTAACTGCTCCTCAGAAATGGTGCCAAGTAATTCTCTTTCTGTAGTGGAAGTTTTTTGCTTAGGGTTTGTCTCTTAGATGGTTTCCCTTTGAGGATCTACAGCCCCACAAATTGCTATCTCTAAGAAATTGCAAAGGAAATCAGACTTTCCTATCAAACCTCCCAAGGTGGGTAAAAGATTGAATCAAGTTGTTTTTGTTCATTTTGAGTCTGACTGTGTGGCCTGATACCTAGGTGCGGCTGACGAGACCATGTTGCCTTGTGAATTTTGTGAGGAGCTCTACCCAGAGGACCTGCTGATTGACCATCAGGTGTGTTGTGAGTTACTGAGGGCTTTAAGTTTTAAGAATGGACACGTACAGGCCATAACTGGTGTTGCAGGCCCTGTGAAGTTGAGCAAACTTTTAATACAGCTGCTATGATAGGGGTAGCAACTGTGTTTTTAACTCTGGTGTTTGTGACTGACATGTGGGTATGAGAACTCAGCTTGTTCCCTCTTGGGCAAAGCACTGTTCACGCCACCAGGCCCAGTTGCTCCCTCCATACTGTGGTGATAGTGTACATCTCTGCTGACCATTTTGTAACCTGGTCTCCTCTCAGGCCACGTTGTGATTTACTAGAGCCGTCCTGAAGTCCTTGCAGTTTTCTGGAAGGGTCAGGGGTCTCTTGAACTTTACTTTTTCTGCCTGGAGATGCGTGGCCTTCTGCCCCTGCCTCCGTGACACACCCAGCAGCACACAGCCCTTACTTACAGACGTGGTTCAGATATGACTCTCAGGAGACCATCCTGTGGAACACTCTGAAGGCTAGGCCAGAGGTGTCCCACCTGTGTGCTCCCCAGAAGCCCGCATTGCTCTTAGCCTGTCCCCTTCACCCTGTGATGTGGTCTGCTGATCCCCTGTTGGTCTGCACCTCTAGACTGAGTTCCTTGAGGGTAGGTTCTGGGTTTTCTTAGTTTCTGAATCTCTCAATACCTGCTGTGTGAAAGCTGTCAGGTATTTTTGAATGACTGAAAGTTCTTGAGCTATTTAGGAACGATCAGGGAATAGCCTTTGTGTTGGAAGATTACCTGGTGGAAGGAGCCATTTTTCCCCTCAACACTCTTACTGTCTGACTTGGTTTGGTCTAGTCTGGCACTTCTGTAATATTAAGTGGTCCCTGTGCTCTGGGTGGAACATGCACCCCTCACAAGTGGAACAAATACATCTGGTATTTGCTTTGGGAGCAGGATCAGAAAATCCATGGATAGGGATAACAAAGAATGCTTGGGCCTCTCTTACTGTATGGCTGTGGGAAGAATTTGAATCTTTTCGAGTTAATTTGAAAAAAATAATCACATACATACAATAAAAAAATTAAAACAGAACAGAAACACTTAAAATAAAAAGCAAAGTGAGTGTTCCATCTGCGTTCCCTTGACCCTTTTTAGTTTCCCTTTAGGATCCCCAATATTAAGCATTATTAAAATTGTGTGACTTCTAGAAAATATTTTCAGAATGTAGTTTTTTCCTTAACCTCTGCTGTTTTTTTTTTTTTAAACCTGTGTTTTTTGAGACAGACAAGCTGTAACCCTCCATGTGCCTTACCTCCGCTCAGTGTGGGCAGAACTTCCCCCAAAGGGGTGGAGGACCCTGAGGTCATCTTCCAGAAGTTAATGCAGCAGGCTGCGAGTAACCAGTTTGACTCTCTGATGGGGCTAAGCAGCTCGCCTCCTGTGGAGGACAGCGTCATCATCCCGTGTGAATTCTGCGGGGTGCAGCTGGAAGAGGAGGTGCTGTTCCATCACCAGGTAAGAGTCTTCGGAGGCCCCGTCCCCTTCACCCGTACTGCTGATCCTCTGTGAGCGAGCTGCAGGCTTTCAGAGCTGAGAATGCTGCTTGGCCTTTAAGTTGCATATGTACCTGATCCCTCTATTGGACACGCCTTGTTTTGTGAGCTGCATGAGGTATACAACAGGCCTTCTGGCAATGGAAATCATCATATCACTAGGTGAGGTCCAGGGAACCAGGACTCCATTTAAGCAGGCGTGTAGGGCTTCCCAGAGGGGTTAGAGGAGAGCTTCCCTGAGGTCACTGATGTGTTCTACCTCTGATGAGGTGGCTTCTTCCTGTTTGGGTGGCATTTGTGTCTTGCATTCCAGGAGACCAGGATCTAGTTCTAGCTTTGCCCTTATGGTTGACCTTGGATAGGTCCTGTTCCCTCACTGGGACATCTGTAAATGAAGGAGTTAGATTAGATAATCTGAAGCCCCTTTTCAGCTTTTACAGTATAGGATTCCAGGGTCTTAGTGGAAAATACTTTTTTCTGCCCCATCTTGCTTGTTAATGGGAGCTAACACTGAAGGTATTTCAGGGACATTCGGATCGGGCAGTAGATAAGTAACTGCTTGCTGTCTCCTAGGGGCGACTACAAAATAAGCAACAGTGCAGATTCTCTGTGGTCAAAATGTAGACCTGCTTTTCCAGGCTCCCAAGACCAACCCTTCCTTCATCCGTGCACAAATCAGAGAGAGCTTCTGTCAGTGCACTGAGTGCTGGCAGGAATGACTGGTCTGTTCCAGATGCGTTTGTCTGTTAGTCCCAGTCCTTCCTCTCAGTGATTGTCAGCGTTATCCTGCCCCATCGTCTGCCCCTTTGCCCCCCCAGATAAGGTGTGTGCACCCCACCTGCTTTTCTTTCCTTTCATCCCGCTGCTCCCTCTCTTCTAGGAATGACTCAGCGCAGAGGTACTAATGCTCTAATTTGTTGTTGTTGCTTTCAGGACCAGTGTGACCAGCGCCCAGCCACAACAAACAGCCATGTGTCAGAGGGGATTCCTAGACCGGATTTCCAGCCTCAAGAGACCTCACCAGAGCTGCCCAAGAGGCGTGTCAGACACCAGGGTATTCCGCAGACTGGCTGCTGCCTCGGGCCTGCTTTCCTCTTCTCTTCTGCTCTTCTGACATGGGGGTTGCCTGTATCCTGAGTTACCAAGCACAGTATGATCTCACTGGGGACTCCCTTGTGGCTAGTTGTGGCCCCGTGTTAGACTGAGCTGTTTCGAGTGGAGGTTTGTAGGGTAACGGCTTTGGGGACTGCCATGAGACGTGCTTCGGAGTGAGTGCTCATTCAGCTGCCGGTCTCCTGTCGGTGCCCTTAGTGGGTAATTGGGAGATCATTTTCAGACCTTAACTGTGGCTGCCCTGGGTGCCTGCTTCTAGTTGAAATATGCTCAACTAGAGTAGGGCACTCAAATTTATTTTCCGTGTTGTTATTATTTAATAGTCTCGTGACTAAGCAAGTAATCTGTTTTTGAAACTCAATTGCTACAAAGCCAATTCGAAATTATTTTTCAAGGTTTGCTTGCACACTGTTGTTGACTAGTCAGGAGGCTGTGCTTGAGGACTTAGGTGCTATACTGTGCGGATTAATGTTCCCAAGCCTGTCCTGGGGACGTGGGTTTCAGCATCCTCTAGGGTAGGGCAGTCATCTTTTACCCAGGATCCTTTGTTCCTGCCCTGAATCCAGCTTTAGTAGCAAGAGCAGCCTTTTCCCTGAAGCTGGTGCTCTTTTCTCTTCTCAGGAGACCTGTCCTCTGGTTACATGGATGATCTCAAGCAGAAAACGGCTAAAGGGCCCACCTACCCTCTTCCCCCCAGCAGACCCACTAGCAATATGACAGCTACTTCGAACTGCCTGTCAACATCCACGTCAGGCACCAGGACTGCGTGCCAGCCCAGCCCTCCTCGCGCACCAAAGCTCAACAACTCAGACAGCCAGGGCACGCGGGGCTGCAGTCGGAGCAGCCGGAACGGGGCCTTGGCCCCTGGGCACGTTCCAGCCATTCACCCTGTTCGGAGTCTTTACCCAGAAAACCTTGTGCCCTCTTTCCCTCGTGGGCCTTCAGGGAGGTACGGAGCAAGGTGAGAACCAGAGGCCTAGGAGTGGAGCTCGGAGGTAGCTCAGAGAACGTGGGGGTGTGGACTTTGCTTGTACTGTGGCCTGATTCCAAGTGCTCTTTTGCTTTGTGTGGTTTTTTTTGTTCGTTAGTTTCACCTGCTCCTGCAGAGCTGCTTTGTTCTGGTTCCAGCTTTTTCTGTTCCGAGTTTTCTGACCTTTGCTCAGGGGCATCTCAGAAACTAGTTTCCAATCCTTCTCTTTCAGTGGTAGGAGTGAAGGTGGCAGGAATCCCCGGGGCACCCCCACAACCACCAACTTCCGCAACAGGACTGCAAAGGTGAGTGGGCTCCAGCCTGCGGTGTTCAGCGAGGACTGACGTGGGTGGGCTTCTGTGGGTCTTGAGTTCCGAGAGGCAGCTGGGTGTCAGGCCGATTGTGGCTGAAGGATTGTTCTCTGGGCCTTTCACAAGGAGGCTTCCATAAAAGCTTGGTGTTTCTGGGGCTCTTCAGGAGTGCTGCTTTCTGCCTTTCTCTGTGAACTTCACTTGTGTTCTGTTGTTCAACAGGCAAAAGCCCCCAAGCATCAGGGAGCTGGAGACGCGGAGGAGGGGGAGGAGGAGTAGCGGCGTCTGCAGACAGCCTGCGTGTTGGTTCTGCCTCCTCTACACAACTCGCTGCGCTGCAGCCCCGCTCCTCGAGCTCTGCAGGAAGGGGCGATCTTACAGATTTTAACTTTTTCTAGGTTATGGCCATTTTGTGTCTTTTGAGATTGTGCTGTGGGAGTTTGGGGGTTTGAGGGAGGAGGGTTAGCAGGGAGGCTGTTGAGAATGTTTCAGCTTTAGCTGCTGCCTTTTGGCAGCACAGAAATGTAAGTTACCACCTCTCAGCCCACCAGGGCTCCATCTTTTGACATACTGTCACCGCTGCTTCTTGGTGCTGTGTGGTCCTGGTGGAAGGAAGAGAGGGTTCTGGGAACCTGGTACCCACCAGTGAGGTGATGTTCGTCCCTGCGGGGGCCTAAATTTGGGAACGTTTGGGTAACCTCTCCTGTATGCTGCCCATCCCCACTCTAGAATTTGGGCCCCTGGTATGTGTGGAGGAGCTTTGGTAAAGTGTTCAGGCCAGTTGCAATATGTGTTAGGAGCACGGCTTTTGGAGATGAGCTGAGGTGTAGGTGAGTGGATTAGGTGTTTTGTTTTAATCTGCTTCTCTGGCATTTGGCATCACTGCCGTTTGTTTCTGATGGGGAGCACGCTTCTTCATCTTCGCTGCCTTCTGTTGGAGGAGGCCGGGGGCTCGCTTTCCCCCTCAGGGCCGTGCCGGGTTCTGCCCTAATCTGAACTGAGGCCCAAGCTCTTGGCTTGCTCTGAAGACCAAGTGTCAGAGCCCCCTCCCCCTCTTTTAATTTTACTATTATTATTAACATCCTTGTAATAGAAATAAAGTTTGTACTTGGAGTTCAGCCGAGTCTTGTGGTTCCTTCTCCTGCATGCTCTGCGGAGGCCTCGGAGACCTCAGGGAGGCCGGAGTGGGCTGGAGGCAGCTGTGAGGAGTGGGGGATGGTGAGCGGGGCTGGGCTGTCTCTGCGCTTCCTGGAGCCCAAGCAGCAGATGCAGCGTGAGCTCCCTCTGAGTGCGCCGGGCCTTCAGGGTATGGTTTTCTTTTCCTGGACTTGGAGGGAACTGACAGGTGACTGCAGCTCTGAGGATGATTTGGCGGTGGGGCTGGGGGGTGGCGTGCGAAGCACCTCCAACAGAAGAGAGGAAGGCAGATTCCTCAGAAGCCTCAATCCTGAGAGCAGTTGAGCCTTAGTAGAATTATCCATCACCCCTCGGCACCTCACACTTGGCACTCGAACGTCTAGCACCTAAGGTCATTTTGAGCGCATTTGTTTTTCTCCTGAGAACCTAGTGGAGGCGGGAAGAGTAGGAAGAATTGCCCCGATTTCATAGGTGGAAAGGAATGACTTAAGGCTGTGCCACCCTCCTCCCTCCCTGGGACTTAAAAGAGGTGGAAGGAAGGATCCTCTCAGCTGGGCCGGAGAATAGTCATTTTGCCCATAACTCATTTTTTAGGGGGTACAGGTAGACTTGAGAGAAAGTAAAACGTTTCCCCCTCCCTCTGGTTGGACTAGACGTAGAGTAAATAGCAGAGGGTTGGTTTGCTTTTACTTTTTTTTTAAATAATCTATAGTTTCTAAACAGTTCATAATGGATATACTTTCTGAGATTTTTAAAAAAGGATTGTATGCAACTAAGAAGTAAAGCTAAGAGAAATCCTTCCTTGTCCTCTTTTCAGAAATTCTCTCGCTTTGGGGGTGCTTTAGAACTTTTTTTTTTTTGTCTGTGTTTTGTAAGCTATTTCTTCAGGTAGTCACTGCCATATTTCCAAATCATGACATTTGAGAGCATTGCTCTTTTTAACTCTTTGCTTCAGCATTCTATCTATAATTTTTTTCCCTCAGCTATTTGAGAGGGAGTTGCAGATGTGGTGTCCCTTAACCCTAGGTGCTCCAGTGTGTATTTCCTACGAACAAGGACATTTTAAGTTTTTAATTTAACCACAGTCCAACAATGAGGAAATTAACATTGACACACTACCACTATCTAATTTACAAACCCTATTCAAATTTTACCAATACCAAATTTGTCCCAATACTGAGCTTTACAACAAAAGAACCATTTTTCTCTGGCCCAAGATGATGGGCTGCATTTAGTTATTTTGTCTCCTTAGCCTCCTTTAAACTGGATAATTCCTCAGATTTCTTTGTTTTCAATGACCTTACATTTTTTCGAGAGTATAGGCCAGTTACCTTGTAGCATGTTCCTTAGTTTGGGTTTGATGTTTTCTTATGATTAGATTCTGGGTATGCAATTTTGGTAGAGATAATGAAAGGAAATTTCCTTCTCAGTGCGTCATGTGGTACGTGGCTGCGAAGCCAGCTTGTCTCACTATTGGTGAGAACTTTGATCACTTGGTTAAGTCTGCCAGGTTTCACTGCTGTAAAGTTACTATTTTTCTCTTTAATTACTAAGTATTTTGGAGGGGGTATTTTGAGACTATAAATACCTTCTTCCTCATCAAACCTTCACTGACACGTTTTAGCATGCATGATGATTCTTGACTGAATACTATTCAGATAGTGATTTTCTGACTCCATCATTCCTTCTACAGTTTAGTTGGCATTCTACTTTAAGGAAGAGCTGTTTTTTCTCCCCTGTTCATTCCTTCATTTATAACAAAATAGATTCTTATTTAATTCAATTTTTTTTATAATCCACCTCTATCATTTATTCTGATGCTCAAATGTATTTATTTTGATGACCAGATTTGGCTGATTCCTGTGTTTTGGCATGGCCAGCTATTCCTTGAGCACATCCTTACTTTCTGGTACAAGATATTCCAGGTTCATCTTGTATTTTTTCCTGCGTCAGCACTAGAATTAGTCATTTTGCTCAGAAACCCTGGATCCTTATAGGGAAGAACAGGATTTAGAAACCAAGATTTGGGCGCTAGGTGTGTATGTATGCTGCTACTACATGGGGGCAGGGGATTACTGCTTCTAGGTCATCTCAGTAGACAGGTACTAGTGTGTGTGTGCGTATGTTTATTATGTATGTGTTATGTAGGTATGCTAGATCCATGCATACACTTATTTTTGTATCTGTATACCACCATGAGTTCATAGCAACACAGCCAATATCAGTCCATCGCAAGGTCTATTCTGTCCTTTGTCTTCTCCAGCAATGAAATCTGGCTCCCATTTTTCTCAATATATTTACTTACTTGCTCATTCCTATAGTACAGAGAAGCTAGTTTCAGAATTGCTCAACCTTCCCACTGCAGAAAAAACAGCCTACGAACACGTTAAACGCTTGTTCACAGTTCTTTGTGACTTTATTTATGAGAGTATACAGTCAAAATAATGTGTTCAAAATTTTACTTTAGTTTTTGTTCCGTCATCCTTCAGTGTCGTTAGGTTATTCATTTGAAATACTTATGTTAGCTTTTTTTTTATACTTCATCTTAAGAGTTTTTTTTCCACCTACACTTGTTGATGGTATTGTACAGTATGTAAAATATTAATATGATTCCAGGTTAAAACTACATATACTCAAAAGTGTCACCAGCCTTCATACTTTCCACCTTCATTCAGCATCTCCATCCTTTCACCTTGTTTCCACCTACTGTCTGTGGGCAACCCATTTTACTAGTTTCTGTTTTATTCTTGTTTTTTCTTTTTCCAAAACTTTTCCTTTTTTTTTTTTTTTGCCAAAATAACCAAATACATGTGTATTTTCTTACTTCCTCTTCTCTCTTACACCAGAGGTAGCAAATTATAAATACTCTTGAACTTTGCTTTTTTCACTTTAACAGTATATTCTCAAAATCACTCCACTGTATGTAATGTGTTAATTATACCTCAATTAGAAGAACAGGTCCAGGGCTATTCAGGTTATCAGTTTCTTCTCAGGTGAACTTCGATGGTTTGTGTCTTTCAAGGGAATTGTCCATTTCAGTAAGTTGTTTAATTTAGTGACATAAAGATAGTCTTAGTATTTCCTTATTAAAAAAAAAAATCTAAAATTTGTAGTGATGTCACCTCTGTCATTTCTGATGTTGATAATTTGTGTCTTTTCCCTTTTCTGGATGTGTCTGGCTAGAGCAAGGATCTCCAAACTCTTTCATAAAGGCCAAATAGTAAATATTTAAGGTTCTGCAATCTGTATTGTGTCTATGGCAACTACTTAACAACGCTGTTGTAGAGCTAACACAGCCATGGACAATACACTAACAAATAAATGGGTGAGACTTCTAATAAAACTTTATTTACAAAAACAGGCAGCGGGATTATAGGCCATAGCATGGCAACCACTGGTTAGAGATCTATCAGTTTTTATTTTTTATTACATTTATCAACTTTGGTTCCATTGATTTCCTTCATTGTTTTTTTGCTTCCATTTAACTGACCTCCATTCTGATTTTTATTACTTCTTCTGCTTACTTTGAGCTTAATTTTTAATTTTTCTAGTTTCTTAAGGTCAAAGTTGAGGTCACTGATTTGAGACCTTCTTTTTTAATATAACTGTTTGGTGCTAGAAATTCGCCTCTAAGAACTGTTTAACCTGCATCTCACCAAGTTTGATGTGTCTTCATTTCATTCAGTTCAAAATACTTTGATTTCTTCTTTGACCTATGGGCTATTTAATAGTGTACACCTTAGTTTCCAAATACTTGGATATTTCCCAGATTTGTTTTTGTTATTCTTTCTAATTTAATTTCACTGTGGTCAGAAAACACTTTGTATGAACTCAATCTTTTAAAATTTATTGAGAGTTTTTTCTTTTAATCCCTAGAGTATTCTCCAGGCCATAAATGTTCTGTATGTGCTTGAAAAGAATGTGCATTCTCTTCCAGTTGGATGAATGCTATATAAATGGCAGGTAGGTCAACAATTGTTTATATCCTTGCCGATAGTGTCTGTTTCCTTGTTCTGTATGTTACTGGGGGAGGGGCTGTTTGAAATCTCTTGTTATAATTGAGGATTGTCTGTCTTTCCTTATAACTCTATAATTTTTGTTCCATTATTTTCAACTCCTGTTATCAGATCTGCAATAACTTATGATAGTTATGCTTTTATTTAATCAGCCTTTTTATTATTATGAAATGACCTGTATTCTTTTTAATATTTGCTCTGAAATATACTTTGATGTTAACATAGAAATCTCAATAATTAATATTAACATTTCTCAGCTTTCTTAGTGTTAGCATAGGCATCTTTTTCCATCTTTCAGTTTTATCCTATTTGTATCTGTGTATTTAAAGTCAGTTTCTTTTGGTTATGATTTTGGTTTGGGGGCCTATCTGATAATCTGTCTTTTAATTGAGGTGTATAGGCCATTTACATTTAATGTGATTATTGATATGATTGGGTTTAAATACATCATTTTCTCTGTCTCCTGTTATTTCCTTTTATCTCTTTTTCTGTTTTCTTTTGAATACTTTTATGATTGCACTTTATCTCCTTTGCTGGCTTATTAGTGATCACTGTTTATTGTATTATTTAAGTAGTTGTTATGGGACTTACAGCATACACCTTTAACTTATCTCAGTCTAGCTTCAAGCGATAGTATGCCACTTAATGTTTAGTATTACCGCAGCATGGTTCCCAGCCTCGGTGCTACCGTCACAGTTATTTCTGTATTTGTTATAAGTCCCCAACATACTGTTGTTTTGTTTAAAAAGTCAGTTATCTTTTAAAGAGATTTAAATAGGAAAGTATGTCTTTTGCATTTACTCCTGTAGTCATTATTTTGGTATTTTTTCTTTCTGCTGATTCAGATTTCCATCTGGTGTTTCCCTCCTGCTTGAATTACTTCCTTCAACTTCGTTGTGGTACGGCTCAGCTTTTGTGCGTCTGAAAAGGGCTTTCTTTCTCCTTCATGTTTAGAAAGTTGTGGT